AAGAAAAAGAAAAAGAAGCATACCATATGGTTTCACTCATAGAAGAAGCATAAAGATCCAGGGGGGAAATAATAATAATAATAATGAACAACTATATACCAGAGACATTTTACAGGGGTGGGTTGGGGAATGGCATCAAAAATGGGGGGGGAGGCGCGGTTTGTGCACTGGACTATGGTAATGGCACATGGGGGATTTGGTGATGGGAAGCCCAAGGGGATTACAACTGAGATGGAAAAAAGCACAAAATAATGTAAAAATAAACTATTATATTTTAAGAAACAGTTAAGTCTTTCCATCAAGAAAGAGGACACTTGACACTGACACAAAAACATCCTGGTTAGAGAGATCTCCGAACGGAATCCATACATTAGACCACAAGCCCAGACAGCTAACATAGAAATCATTAACTCCTTTCATGGGTCCATTTGAAATACTCTAATACATGTTGGATCATATAGTGACCTTTTGTAGTGAAAAAAGCCAGAAAGAAAAAGAAAAATGCTGGATGGTTTCACTTACAGCAGGAGTATAAGGGACCAGGAAAAAAAAAAAAGCAATTGGAATACAGAAAAAATGAAAAACAATGATCAGCCATAAACCAGAGACATTTTACGGGGGAGATAGGGGAATAGGATCAAAACTGGGGTAGGGTGGGAAGAGAGCCTGGGACTATGTGCTGGCACACAGCAGAAGTGGTGGTGGTAAATCCACAGGGATTACAACCAAAATGAATAAATGCACAAAATGAAGAATGACTTAAAAAATAAATAAGTTTTTGGGCCCTCCCTGGTGGCGCAGCGGGTTAAAGCACTGCACTAAGAAGCTTAAGCCACTTCCGCATGAGTCCGATCCCCGCCTGCCCGGAAGGTGACCACATGGCGCTGCAGACCTCTCGTGATCCGCCCGCTGCTCCCCTCAGCAGTGTACTTCGTTGATCTGCCTGTTCTGCTCCCCTCTCTGTCTCTGGTGAATCCTCTCACCCTCCGCATCTCTGGCCTGTACCCCAGTTCTGTATGAATAAATACATAAATCTTTAAATAAATAAATAAATAAGTTTTAAAAAAGTTATTTTTTTTTAGGATGTTTAGAATAGCTATACATTTCAAATACAATAAAACAAAACCCCTGGTGTGCAGCTCTGTGGCAACAGAAAAAGTGTGGGGCTTCAGCCTCTCTCTCAGGTTTCGGTACAGGCTGCAGGTGCCTGGGGACCAGTGTGCTGTTGCTGCACAGAAGTAGGTGGCTGAGTCCGCAGGATGGGTAGCTGTGATGTGCAGGAGGAACTCTTTTTTATCCTTGTTCATGAAGGCAATGAGTCTTTGAGCTTGTTTCTTTCGTTCAGTTGAAAGAATATATATAAGCATCTCTAGACTTTTTCCAGGCTCTTGTTTATACCAAATGAAGTAGCTGGAGGCCATGTCTGTGTAAGAGCAGTTGATAACAAAGGTGGCTCCTTCCTGGACACTCAGGAAAGATGGATCCTGCTTCACCTCTTCTCCTCTACTCATCACTGTGCAAAGAGAAAATTAGACCAGATCATCAAGCCGTCATTCTCTAAAGTTCCCTCTCTTTGTTGTTTTGTTACAGTCATATCAGGCAATCTGGCAAAGGCAGCTGTCCTCTGACTTCTACTTAGTATTTATTAGAACACCCTGGTCCCAAAGCTCTCAACTCACCATCCAACTGCAGCCATAAGAACAGGTACAGAGGGCCAAGAATTGTCTTCATTGTTCTCCCAACTGATACCTGCAATCTCTAGCTCCTCCTGCCAGGAGAGCTCTTTCTGCTACCAACTTATCTCTTCCTTTCCTCCAAACACAGTGGTTTCCTAAACTGCCTGCACAAGCATCCGTTTCTGTCTTAAGCCTGCTCTTACAGAGTCAACCAAAAGGAAACCTCCACCTATTTTGCATAAACAGACATGCTCTGCCAGCTTGTGTTCAGATCCCCCACTGATAGCCCAGCGCCCAAATGCTCCTTTCTCTTTCCTGTCTCTGTGGGAGACGCTGGCACACAAAACAGCACAATTGAAATGAATTTCCCCGGTGTGTCTCTAGTAGAAATGATGTGAATTAGCAGAAAGCAAGTATAGTGAAAATGTAGGGTTCAGAATTCCCTCTCATCTTATCAGCACACTATTGAGCCATTTTAAATAAATTTTTAAAAGTTAGATGTTTTCAACCCAAATGCCCAAAAACAGATGACTGGATCAAGAAGATGTGGTATGTATATACACAATGGTATACTACTCAGCAATCAAAAAAGATAATCTCATGCCATGTGCAGCAACATGGATGGAGCTGGAAGGATTATGCACAGTGAAATAAGCCAGAAGAAAAAAAAAATAGAATGGTTTCATTTATAGGAAGGATATAAGGGAACCAAATAAGAGATCAGGGAAAAAAATAATTATAATAAATAAAAGATTAACAGGTAACTAGAAATCAGAGACATTCTGTAGGGGATGGTGAGGAGAGGGATCAAAACAGGAGATGGAAAAGCATAAGGGACTATGGTGATGGTGCGCAGATGAAATGGTGGCAGGAATTTCAGGTACACCTGAAAGGAGAAATCATACACTATACAAAAATGAATAATGATATCAAGTATTAATTAATTAATTAAAAAGATGTTTTAGCATTAGACACATTTTTTAGCATTAGACTTCATCTGTTTAAAATCAGGATAATGCCATAATTGACTGCTAAGCCATTAAGGAGTAAAACTTTTCCTTCCCATCCTTCTGCAATGGACCAGAGAATTAATGGACCAGAGAATTACTCAGCCAACTCACAGAAGCTCTCACAGAAAACTTTTTAATAAAGGTAATATTTAGCTCTAAGACCAGAGTAAAAGAGAAATAATTAATGTGTCAGATGCACAATCTGGAAGGCTCAGTTACGCCAAACCCGGCCTTGCCCCTCACCTGTCATCCTCAGAAGGCAACAGTGCCGAAGGCTAAAATATGAAAGCTGCTTTGGTAAAAGTGACTAAGCTATATAGTTAGAAAGAGAAATGGGAAGGACATCCATGAGTTGATATTACTCCAAACAGGGAGGAGCTCAGCCTGCAGACTGTGATAAGAAATCTGACATACATCTGATAACTTCTCTTCTGGAAGAATAGATCATGAGATTATGGCTGTGTGGCTGCCTAACCATGGAATATCAACAACAGAGTAAACACTCTCAGGGAATAGCAGCCTACCGACTGAGATCATGTCAACAAATACACACCTCTGCTAGATGTGTTTTATGTCTTAATGTCAGAGTGATTGGTCTGAACTCCAATGGCTTCTACAATGAACTTTCTCCTCCTATTGATTTGGCTGCTGCCAATACAGATTCCAAATGCAAAAACATTTCCCAGATTATATAGTTTGGACTTCATTACTTGGATTCCCTCTTTTGAGAAGGTCTTTTATTCCTTTTAACTCTCTCTCCAAACCCTTTCTCATCTATCTAAATTTCTGGGATCTTTTCGTTACACTCCTGCAATAAATGCAGTCAGTGCTAAAGTCAGTGCCTTCCAGTGGTACAGTTTGTGTAGGAACCCACCAAGAAAAATGTATTGTTGGCCCAGGAAATCCTAGTTGGCGTCATTGTCGAAAGAAAAAGGTCCCTCCCTGTGATTTGAATTAGTAGATCTCATGCCAGTATGAAAATTAGTCCAACCCTTCATCTACCTAACATACATAATATTTGCTGTGATTATACATTATATATTCGATGACTGTGAAGGAAAAAAACTCTGCTAATATGAAAGATATGTGTGTGTTACAAACTGTGTAGATGTATATATCTTTAGTGGATTTATTTAAATTTTTCATGTTAAAGTTTTTTATTCTTCATAGACTATAATTTCTAGATTCTTTATCATGATATTTCTTGGTTACATTTTTATTGTACTTTTCTTGACACTTATAGGTCAGTATTTGTCTTTCTGCCCGAATTGAAAATGCTGATCTGAATAAGATACCCTTGAAGTAAACTGCTTTTCACATTTTCAATAACCATAGTATTACTTAGACAAGATTTTTTTTTTCATTAAATCTTGACTTATTATCAAAAATTTTGCTATGGACAGAGATGCCAGTTCAAAATGTCCATAGAAGAAGTCCCAGAGCTCACCTTCTGACATGGACACACCAAATCTACTGTTACATGGGAAAATCTTCTCAAAGAAGTCCAAAAACCAGTTGAATGACAGCCACACATTGGACAAATTAGAAAATATGCCCAGGTCGAAACTGGAAGGAGAGGCAGAGACTTAACTTCACCATAACTTCAACCCCAGCAAAGCAACATAAAATCAGGGTGGAACTTGCAACTCCCAGCCTCTCCCTGAGCAGTAGTGTTTGAACCCCAACATCCAGTACCCCAGCTGTTAAGACTTACATCTGAAGGACAGCTTCCCCAAAACACTCAGCTCTGAAAGCCCATGGGTTTATATCCACGCGACCCATAATGCTATCGCAGTTTCCCAGAGGAATCAGACAGCACTCAGGGAGGTGGAGAGAGAGAGATTTCCTTATCACAGCAGCAGGCTCACTGGGATCAGTCCCAAAGGTTGAGCCCTGAATTACAGGAATGGGGAAGTTTCATATAAGTCATATGAGGAAATGTATCATCCCATTTATCATAGCATAAGCATTCTTTATTTGGGAAGGGGGTCAAGGTAGCCATAGCTACTACTGTGGGCCGCCAGCACATTGCAGGAACTTTCTGCTCCAGCAAACAGCAGAATCCAAGCAATAGACTCCCCCAAGGAGCAGGCCTGGGAAAAACAGCAGAACCTAAGCAGGCTTGGGAAACTTCCTGCTTCAATAAGGCTATAGAAACAAAGAAAACAGTTGTCAATGAACTCAGGAAACTTGCCTTGGCTGTCCCCTCAGAACCCAAGAAGCACACTGAAGTTGGTTCCCTTTCCCAGAAAGGTCTATTTGCATATATTAAAAGCTGTAGCCTGAGGGTCTGGTGCCTAATTTAATTTAATCTTACTGGTTACTGCAGTCTCTCACAGCTCAGCCAAACCTGTGGGCATCATCTTCACACATCCCCTCTGCCCTGCTGTGGGTTCAGTACCTCCTTGAAAGGAGTTCACATTACCCATTTTATTTTCATAATATCACTTATATTCTGAAGCCACTGATTCAATTGTTTCCTTGCCCTAAAGCTTTCCACATGTGCAGGAAACTTGATGATACTGTAGAAGAAGCTATCTTTCACCACGACACCAGCGTGTTCATACCGAACTACAAAGTTAGTTGAGTGGTTGGTTGCATGTTGAATGAACACTAAGTGAAATCAGTTTGGCTAATTTTCTCTTTGAGAAGAGAAAGCAGATCCCTGGTGGCCTCATAGGGCCTGAGTGTGGAATCGAATTATGGGCTCCTTGGTCTTCTGGTCTCTGCAGCTTGGGTCACTGAAACCTGCTAGAGGTGGTAGGTGTGGTTCTGTAGAACTGAAGACAGTGGGAGAGTCTCACTTCATTGGGGAACTCAAGTATATTTTCCTTAAACGTTCACTAGTTAGAAATTGTCAAAGTTGGGCCCTCCCTGGAGGCACAGGGGGCTAGGGTGAAGCACTGCAAGCTAGCCACAGCCACCTCAGTGCCAGTTCAATCCCCCCTGGAGGTGACCCACATGGCGCAGCAAACCTGTCCTGACCTGTCTGCTGCTCCCTCAGCAGTGTACTTCATCAATCTGCCTGTTTTGCTCTCCATTCTGTCTTCGGTGAATCCTCTCATGGCCCCTGCAGCTCTAGCCTGTACCCCAGTTCTGCATAAATAAAAATAAAATCTTAAAAAAAAAAACTTGTCAAATTTTTTCTTTAATTACTTGCTTTTATTAAAAATATCTTGCATACTTACTACTACAGATAAGTTGATATATACATATTTGAAGAGGTAGCTAAAAGAATGGGAATTAATAAAGTAAAAACCTCACCTCACAACTGTTAAAATGGCTATTATTGAAAAGTCAAGAAACAGTAAGTACTGACAAGGATAAATGTGGAGGAAAGTAACCCTTATAGATCAGCCCAGTTCCTATGGGAAACAGTATGGAAGGTCGTCAAAAACTTAAAAATAGAAGTACCATAGGATCTAGCAATTCAACCTCTGGATACTTTCCCAAAGAATGTGAAAACACTAATTTGAAAAGATGTATGCACCCCTATGTTCATTGCAGTACTAATCACAATAGCCAAGATATGGAAACTACCTAAGTGTCCATCAGTGAGTAACTGGATAAAGAAGATGTGGTATAGAGCTCTCCCTGGTGGCACAGCGGGTTAAAGCACAACACTAAGAACCTAAAGCCACTTCCGCATGAATTCGATCCCGCCTGCCCTGTTGGTGACCACATGGCCCGGCAGACCTCTCCTGACCCGCCTGCTGCTCCCCTCAGCAGTGTACTTCATTGATCTGTAAAGATTCCAGTACCTGGTCTGTCTTCAGTAACTTGGTCTTTAAAGTCATTTGGCATCTAAATTCTTAAACTTCCCTTCTTTGTTGTTTAAAAAAAAAGTGCCAAAGACTATCAGCATCATAAAGTGCTGTGAAAACTAAATAATAATGAAGTGGCCTGTACAGAGTTATTCATGTAAGTGCTATCTAAACATGAGCTACTTTGCTGTTATATTTGTTACTCAGGACCCTCACATCACTAAAAGTTATGAATACAGCATGGCCAAGCATGACCTTCATTTGCATCTTCCTTAAAACCT